CGGGTTTAAGTGAAGCTGGAATTCATTCAGGGCCACAGGTAATAGAGAAGACCCTGAACGGTGGCTCACAAGTTATTGCTGCTTTCTGTGAGTACTCACCACAAAAACTGCTGCACTCTGAACTTCATCAAACCAAGAGTTTCAGTAGCAAAAGGATCTCTTTTTTTTGAGAGACAGCAAAAATTACACTAAGTTGTCTCAACTGACTTTCCTCCTTGTCACTCAGCTAAAAATCTGTTATAAAGACAGTTGTTACAGTCATTTTAAGAAAAAAAAAAATCACAATGTAAGCTGATAGACTTGGACTTTTGGTGGGGGGACAGTCTTGTACACAGGTTTCACACAGCTCTCGCCAACAGAACTTGTGATTGTTAAACTTGTCTAACAATCTCAATGTTCTAGTTGAACATAATTTCTTTTTCTGTATAAATCACTGATAATATTGAGTGGTTTAGAGAGATGCCATTTCTTACTTGTCTGGCTGAATTTCACTGCAGCTTAGTAGTGGCGTCACTTTCCCAATTCTGTTTAATACTCATCACCTTGGTTCCTAGTTCCTGCAGGACAGATAGTCGTATCAAGCAGGGCTGCACAGAGATACTGGGCTCTTTGGAGAGTACTTGTGTTAGTTACCCATCTCAAGAAATCCAAGTCAGAGCTAAGTGTTACCACACATCTTTCCACCATGAAGCATTTGGAGTGGCTCAACCACAACACTTCGTCTCTAATCTTGTGTCAACCCACTATGAATATTTAGAAAGCTACACATTCATAACACAACAATGCTTCTATTAAATCCAAACCTTATTATTATACATAAAACCCTCAAAAGTGTTAAAATAGATTAAAATAGATTAAAATAGATTAACTTGAATAGTTTGAGCCATATCATTTTCTTAAAAAATAGCAGATTAAAAATATTCAGAGACTGCCAAAACTTATTTCAAGACTTATTTAAAAGGACTGCAGACCTTTTGTGTCATTTAACCTTAACCAAAAATAAACTCAGTTACCATATCCTTCCATTTTAACTTCATCCTCTGAAAAGTAGTTCTTACCACTAGCAGAGATCTTTAAACCACTACCTGAATTTGCTGTTTTCTTGGCATCATTGTCATAGCAATGAATTCTAGGGGCTGTGAGAGTCAGCAGGACTATCACCTGCCTGGAGTTAAACAGTATCACTTATTCCATTTTCTGAATTACCCAATTAATACAAGATGTTTTTCTACTCTGTGACAACAAAATTTCCAAGACCCTAATTTTTAAAAAAGCTTTCAGAAAAGTTTTCAGAAGTCACCTCTCAAATTCACCACTGCAGAGTAAAGATATCTTTGGGAATTAGTGTGTGGCCAACAAAAATCTAATGTATGTATTTAACTTCAAAATACACTCTAGTTGTTAGTCTACATGGTGGCATTTTATTCACTGAGCAACATAAGCTCCTGTTGCTGTACAAGATGAGTGCCTAACAAAGCAGAATGTAATAGATAGCATTGAAACAAAGGAATATAAATTCCAGAGCTTCATAAAACAAGTTCATTATTCACATGTTGTCAGGAAGACACTCTGTTTCAAAGTACATGAGAAAAAGATGAGATGTGTGTGCTTCTGGTATATCTGAAGGATAACAAGTGGGTTACACTATATTCACACTAGCCAGCCCTCTGTGGCAGACTCATTCTTTGTTTCCAAAGCAGACAGCTCCTCATTTCCTTAATACAGAGAAAGCTTATATTTACAGGACCACTTCAAGAACAAAAGTTTTGTCTTCTACCATCCCCTCTTGACATTAAAGAAGGCCTCTTGTCACTAACTGTCCCTTTTCCTTCCACTGATATAACACTTGATCTCTGAGATCCACTTGTGCAGCCTGGTAAGTGGCACACCAAAAATCAGGGGTATTGACAGCACAGCCCTTCTGGAAACGAACATATGCACATCAGACTGCTTCCCTCAGCTCAGAAAAGTGGGCACCAAGCTTAGTCTTTGCAGCCCACATTGTACCACCCTCTTCCCAAAACCAAGACTTAACACAAACATTGACAAAATTCCATGCCAAAACGTACACCAACCTAATTTCTTACAGCTAGTCATGTCCATATGAGGAGACCGGCAAAAAACGTAGGTTCTTTTTTAATCACAAGCAGAGCATTTTAAAAGACACTGCCTCTTTGAACTTCCAAATGTTCTGTAATAGCTTTGCTGCTACAAAGAGACAAAGCCCTTGTCAGCTGCCATTCAGAATTCAGTACCTTTACTCCTCAGGAGCCTTTACATACATCCCTCTGTTATGTTACTCTACTACAAAGTCTATTACAAAAGACTTTGCCAAAACACTGAACTTTCACCAAGCTTTGCTGGTTTTCTTCAGAATTTAGTTCTGAATACAACTTCTATCGAAGCGTGGAGGAGGGGCTGGGAAAAACTTTCTTCCACAAACTAAGGCATGTGCTTCCAATTTGCCAATAAAGAGCACCCATGAAGTACCCTGGCAGTGAGATTGGTTCCTTACCAATATGAACCCCTTGTATTAATTCAGAAAAATTTGTGCAGCACTGAACACCTGTAATCTCCAGTCGAGTACTGAGTGGCTGTGGGGATGGCTGCCAGCTCAGATGTTCTGCCCTTCTATAGCTTCTTACTCCAGCAGCTGATTGATTGTGCCTGCTTCGCTTGATTTGTTCTTGGTTGCTTTCTTGATTTCTCCTCATCTCTCTTCCTGAACAGCCACTCTATGCTTTACTAATCAATCTGTCATTTTTTTTTACTGTATATGGTATTGGCAGCGAATTGTAAGGATTTTTTTCCAAATTCCCCATCAGTTGTTGTTTTGGCTTGACAAATACACAGAAGATTTTATTTTCACCATCACCACCCTTCAGACCCCTTCTGTTTGTCAGTGCAAGCAGCCACCTTTCATTTGAGGAAAATACCAGAACTTGAGCATGGCACTGTCGGGTCATCACCAATTCCATCACACCTGGAGTTTCACTTGTTCTCTCCAGAATCTCATTCAGGCTGTACCTGTTGCCTTCTGTACGTCCCATCAAACAGAACAAAAGTTCTCATCCGCAATAAGATTTAAATTCTATTTTTTTCAAAATTCAGCTCAAAAAGACAGCTTTTAGACACACTTGATACCTTCAGAACAGGGCCAACATTTAAGAGAAATAAAGTTTGAAAGAGATGCAGTAGCAGTCACATTAATACACATATTTCTTTTAATTGTCCTAATCAGTTGGAATGTGAATGGAAAGCAGCCCAACCTTCCAGAAGTTCACTCTTACACATGGCTTACTTACAACAAATACATCAAAGAAAAGGAGTAACCATGGATATTTTCTCCTGAATGTACAGTAGCAGTACAGTAGTAGTTTAAGTAGCAGAGAAGTGTTCCAGCACAACTTTTGCCTTCCAGCATTTTTTGCAGTGTACTGGGTACTAACGGAAAGAATGCAAGAGTAGCTACAAGGAAATAAATTCACCACTGCCATGATTCAATAGCTACATATTAGACACTGACATTTTGCTTCTGTGAAGTGTAACAGCAATCACAACATAAATCCACACCTTGTCAATTGCAGCAGCCCAAGTAATGCAACATCTGTGAATTTCAGTGCTTTATAGAGAATCTGAGAGTAGCTGGAATAAAAACATAGTTTGGGCTAAGAGGGATAGAGTCTCCCAGTTAAGCCACATGACATATGCCATATTCCCATATACCACAGGCCTCAAAAATCAGCTTGAGAGAAGTCAGGTAATTGTTTTTATTTTTATGCAGCCTTTGTTTTCCAGATGGACAGGCTTTCTGATGTTGTAAGATATAAATGACCTACTCAAATGGGAGAAAGAGGTCTATGGGTACTGATGTAATACAGCTACTCAGCAGGGCTGAAGAGCTCAGCAATCTCTTGACATATTTTCAGTTTGAAAATTATTCCAGATGCTTTTAGGAGTAGACAACAGCAATGGCTGCTTTTGACAAGGACATCTGAAAATCTGAGCTCCTTCAGATTGTGCTAAAATAAGTGTTACAGCTTTCCAATTTTATTAAAAACAGCTGATTGAGCTGATTAGCTCCAGCCCTCATTTCACCTGGACTATCACCATAAAAACCATGTTCACCTGCAGCCACAAGGTTACTCTACACACATCTTCACCCAGGCCAGTATTTGCCTTTAATGGTAACAGAAGGGTCAGAAAATTAGTCCTGTATCTGCAGAGACAGGAAGCACTTTAGGTCTCATAGATACCCCTTCAAAAAAAAAAGCTACAGGGTTCAGCTAAGTAGGATAGCATGCTACAGGGAAAAAGAGGTGGAGGAAACCAGCACAGAAGCCATCCCTATCCCTCCACACCCTTGTGTGAATGAAAGGAATTAAGTGAAGAACAAGGAACTGTTACAGAATTACTTGCAGAGTAGAGAAGACTGTAAACAAATACGATTCACATTTTTGGTCAGTTCTCACTGCAAGTATTTAGACAACTCTACTGGTGATCACAATCATGGTAAGGCTGCAGATGCTAAGGGAACAGGAGTTAATCCAGGCCAGACTGATGCTCCTCAGCCCAAGAAAGGCAGGACCAAAAGTAAGGGTGGCTCATTCTCCAGTCTCTGTATTCTTAGAAAACAACACAACATTAACACTTCCTCTCTGCTTTTGGGTGACCTGCAATGCTGTTTTGCCCAGATTCCCTGTATCATGCTTACTAAGGTTAGGCATGGCTGACTGCTGGAGTATCTGGAAAGTAAGACTCATGCAGAGAAGATCTATTTTACACACTTAAGGGTTAGTGACACCACCTGGGGATACCAGCAGAGTTCTGGGACACCAGTAAGGCTTTAAGAAATTTTGCTGGGGTTTCCAAACCCCATCCCAATTTTAGCCTATCACTGTTCATAACAACATGGGTTCTAAGTCTTGGCCTTCCTAGAAGTAACTTCAGACTGAGAAAACAGAGTGCTCTATATTTTAGGACTCATCCACTTTACTTACCCTCACTTTCGCTCTTACTTTTTAAGTCTTCCATCCATGTTGGAATAGTTTTCAATGCAACATAATCCCCCAAGTACTCTTTGCGTCTTTCTTCCAAGGTCATCTTCAGCAAACGCTCTGTTTAGGGGAAAGAGAAATAAGCAAAGTTTTGCAAGCTTTCACATGTTGTTGCACATGAGCCACGCAGTGAGCAATGCAGTGCCCTTGATGAATGAAATGCCACTTGAGAGGACTCCTGACACTTTAATTCCTGTATCAGAGAACAGCAACTTTAGTAGGGAATTGTTTGATAGGGAGTATTCAGATATGAAAGCCTGTTCTGTAGGTTCCGCATTTGTAAACCAGAACTAAAAAAAAACAGAAGTTCAAGTAAAGGCTGGGAGCATGGTGGAAAATTAATAAAATGCTACTACATAACAAAAGAGATCAGAGCTACAGCAAATGTTCTGTCAGTTGCTAGATGTCTGGGGTGGTAAAAAAAGGGAAGTTTAGCTTTAGACATTTCCATCTGAACATTAACAGGACACACCTGGTTCCCACACTAAAGTACATATAGACAGTTGTTTTTGTTTTCTCCTGAGAACATCATCACCTCTTTTTACAGATGTTTGTGAAAAGTAAAGCCTCAAACACTGCACAAGCATGACAGCTACTGCCAACTTCACTCTACTTCATACCCTGCTATAAATGGACTTTTACAGTAAAAAAAAAAAAAGCCGTCCCAATGACCCAAAACTGTAAGCAACCCCAGCACTTCAGTTGATTTTTGCAGTCACATCCTCTTTTCTCTCCCTACCTCATCAATGCTTAGTATTAGCTCAGCACAAGATGAAGTGCTTTTTCCCTCCCAAAAGAAAAAGGATAAAGAAAAAGAACAAAAGCACAACACCCATACTCTACTCAAATTTCTGTTTTTACCAGTAGCACTGCGCTACTTTAACCACACTAACAGTTTTTCTTGACATGTTAATCAGTAATAAATGCTCTTCAGTGACTGAAGAATTTTTAGGGGTGTAGGGAAAAGTTAGACCTATGTTATATGCATTTTACATAAAGAATTAGGCAGACATAAAAATAACATTTTCATCTCAAGTTGAAGAAGCAGCAAAAGATGAACATGGAAACTGCTTCTCAGATCAAACCTTAAAAAACCAAGACAATCATGGGGGTCTGGTCTGGGGTTCTTCCGTTTGTGCTTTTTCAAAATAAAGTTTCCTAATTATGTAGGCTGCAGTCGGCACAGTCTAAGGCAAGCTTTGAGCACAGCCTCCCTTAACAAAATAAGTTTGTTTCGGTATTTTTTGACAGTATTAAAAATTTCTTCGGTTGACAGAAACATTTCTCTGGTATCTCAGTGGGATATTTACACCTGCCAAGCAGAACGGACATAATGAGGGTCACCATTCTGCACACCCACCTCCGTTACCTGAGCTCCAGGCATACAAAACTCCAAGTATCTGAGGTGCACCTGGAAGTCCTACAGGTAGGCAGACCTGAGAGCACATCAGTTCTGAGGGACTGAGCAGATCAAGTCTAGGTTCAGCCTTTTGCTGAACAGGAGACAGTCAGTCCTGTGCCTTCAAAACACAAGTTCTTCTCTACAGGAAGGTTTTACAAAAGTTTGCTCTTGTGAGTCAGCAGCAAGAACTTAAATTGAATCTTAATTATACACAAACCTCCCAGAGGATGCTCCCAACAGCCTTCACTGCAAGTACAGTTTCCTGCCTGTGGCAGAAACTTGGGAAGTTTGCAGGCAGCCCAGTCCTGTGTCTAAGGCTCTGAAATCACCTCCACTCCTGCTCCGTTTCAGCTGTCCTCAAGGAAGATCTCCCCTGGGAGGATGTGGACCAACCCTTAATTACCAAGAAAGTAATTAACAAAAGCAAGCATATTGTCAATGGGTTTGAACTCAATATTTAGCAATCAGTGCTTTTTTCCTTTTAAGAAGTGCTTCAGAATATAAAAGGCAGAGAGCAACTGCACTCAGAGCTTCATGGGAAGAGCAGAGCCAGTGAGCACAGCCAGCTTTGCAGGGGTTCAGGGGTGCCTGTGAAGGCAAACCAGACAAAAGATTGTTTAGCTTCTGTAGTTTTCCTCTCTAGTAAACCAGGTACTTGGTAAGAACAATGCTACAGGGCTAAAAACTGAAGGGCAATGCCAGCAATGAAGAGAGAAGCTTTTTCTGCCCTCCTCACTCAAAGTACTCTGGGCCAACACTATCAGCATGGTGCTGGAACAGTTACTGGAGCAGAAGACTGGCAAATGCTCTTTGTTCTCACTGGGCAAAAAGACAGGGAGTTGTGGCCAGCTAGCACTCAAAAATGCTTTCTGTATGGAAAAACCTCAGCAGCACTGAGCAGCGCTGATTTGAATTCAGTAACATCACCATGCTGATGGAGACCACCATCCTCACAGCTCTACCAAAAGTGTGTCAGCAGCTCCAGTTTCCAGGTCCTCCACTCTGCTCTCCTTACTAAGGGTTTGAGTTCACCTGCCAGACTATGAATTCACAGACAGCAACACAGCTGAAAGAGACAAGTGGGAGTAATAAGAGCATTCACTAGAGCCTACCAGTAACTTTTCCCCATCTGCCCCTTGCATTATTTGAAGGTAAAACATACGGCATTAAGGGAAAAGTCAGTTATAATTGATCACACATAAACAATGCTTGAGATAATTTAACTGTACCTTCTTCATTGAAAGCAGAAGCTTCTGTCAGGTAGAAATTTGTGGCTTCACCTTTACTACAGAAACATGGACTGTAAGATGGTTTGAAAGAAAAAGACTCACTTCATTTGAGAGGAGTTTGACAGGAGCAACTAACCTACAGAAAAATAAGTTCATCTGTGTTTTAACTATTTTTCCTTAGAAAGGTGCACTTGAATCCTGTTCTTTGAACTGGTCTTCTGCCTGCTTAGTTTGAAACATACAACAGTCACAAGAGTGACAGAAGAAAAAAAAATAGCAATTAAAATATGACCCTCTGATCTGTTTTTCTTCCTCTCCTCATCTATTACTACATTATTTGGAACACACTGGGCAAGAAGGTTTCCTCCTCACAGATATAAATGTTGCATGTCCATTTTTTCTTAATTTTTACACTGCTCTCTATGGGATCATTATAAAGTACCAAAAAAATAATGTCTGCATCAAATGCTTGGCCCACAGTTTTCATGCTCTGGAGTTTGGCTTAGGGGTTTCATAAACTGAGAATACACAGGCGTGTGTCTTAAAACATATATAAAACTACATAAATAGTTCAAAAGATAGGATGTAGGAGTGCTCAGACTCCCATACCCCAAACATTTCACCCCGGCTGAATGACACTAGAATCTAAACTGATTACAACCAATGATCCCAATAAACCATATTTCACCTCAGAAAACAAACCCATTGAAAGGAGAAAAAGCACGTTTTGAGACCATGTGCCCAACTTTTCGGCCTGAAACACTCCCACAAGGTGACTTGGGGGCGAGAAGCCCTCAGGAGAGGGGTTGTTTACCGCCCGCCCTCGCTCGCTTCCCTCCTCCCCGGGGCTCCACTCCTCACGGATACGCCGAGGTGTGGGGGAAACATCCCAAATTCCCGCACTCCCGTGCTTCCATGAAGGCTGTTTCAGCCAGGAGACCCCAGGACAAACGCACAGAGCACGGAGTTTCCCCTTCCCCACCCCGTCCCCTAAGCCGCGGCCGGCGAGAAGCGCTGCCGGACACCCCGCGGTGAGGCGGCGGCTCTGAGGGCACCGGGACTATCCCCCTTCCCTCGCTCCCTCCCGGCTCAACGTGGGCTTAAAGGCGGGAGAAGCGGGCCCGGCCACCGGGAAGGGCAGTAATACCTTTCTCCTCCCGCCACAGCTTTTTCCGCTTGTTGCCGGGGTACATGGTGGTGTGGCTGGCGGCGGCTTTGAGCTGCAGGTTCCCCAGGCTCACGAGGGGGTGGAGGAGACGCCGCGCCAGAGCCAGAGCCGAACGATACGGACGCCCCGCGCCGCCGCTGCCGCCGCCGCTGGTACCGCTGATCCCGCCGGCTCCGGCTCCGCGCCCGCCGCACGGTGCCCGTCAGCCGGGTCACGCCTCGCTCTACCCCGACACCCCCGCAGCGCCCGCCCCGCTCCCCGCCGCCCGTTGGCTCCGGCAGCCGCCGCTCAGCAGCCACCTCCTCCTCCTCCCGCACCGACCAGGAGGAGCCTGAGCGCGGTGGCGCCGGGTCGCCAGGATTTGGGGGAGTGTGTTGTGCGGGGACACGGCGTGGCGAGCGCTCGGCTGCGACACTGCGCGCTCTGCGCCGTGCTGGCGCTCGGAGCCCCCGCGGGGCGGGAGGGAGGGAAGGAGCGGGCGGACACCCCTGTCCCGTCCCGCCCCGCCACCGCCCCCCGCCCGCCTCCTCCGCCCCTCTGCTTCCGGGTTGCGGCGGTACCGGGCTGTGCCCGGGGCGGCGGAGCTGTTGCCGAGCGACAGCGCCGGGGCCCGGGCCCGAGCCTGGCCGGGCGCGCCCGCTGGCCGGCGCCTCCCGTGAGGCGACTGCACCCGTGCGGCCCCGGAGCGTCCGGAACGCAGGAAACTGCCCCGGCGGGTTTAAAAACGGGTGCCGGGCTCAGGTTTCCGGGAGCGGAGCTCCGCTGGTGTGTCCAGAGAAGGGCAAGAGAGCTGGTGTAGGTGTAGAGTCTGGAGCACAAGTCCTATGACGAGCGGCTGAGGGAGCTGGGGATGCTCAGCCTGGAGGAGAGGAAGCTCAGAGGTGGCTTTATCACTCTCTAGAACTCCCGGAAAAAAAGGCTGCAGCCATGTGGTCCCATGTAATCAGCGTCAGGACAAGAGGACATAGTCTTTAGCTGGGCCAGGGAGGTTCCGGTTGGAAATTAGAAGGAATTTCTTCACAGAAAGGGTGATTAGACATTGGGATGGGCTTCCCAGAGAGGTGGTGTTACCACTCCTGAAGGTGCTCAGGAAAAGACTGGATGTGGCACTCAGTGCCATGTTGTAGATGACAATCTTGTGTTTACTCAAAAGTTGAACTCGATGCCCTCAAAGGTAATTTCCAACTTAATTGATAATGAGATTCTGTGACTCCTGGGATCCCTACACCATGCCCCCTACTCACACTTATTGTGAAAATCACTGCTGGATGCAGCAGAGGCCAAGGTCCACCCAGGTCCAAAGGTCAGGGAAGGCACCTTGGCCCCTGCACCACTCAGCTTTTCTCTGTATCAGGAGTAATTTTCTCCTTCACATCAACTTCCATGGACTAAGTAAATAAATACAAAAGCTTTCCTGCAGCTGTGCAGATGCTCTTACCTTTACTTGTGCCCCCATGGAGGGAAAGGCCCTACCCCATGCAGGTGAATAGATTTAGTCCTGGAGCACAGCAGGTGCTTGACTTAGAGCAGGAGTGATGAGGGGCTGGTGTGACAAAGGACATGTCACAGCCTCACTGTGCTTATTATCTGACACAGCTTCACCAAGACACAACAGTTCACAGGGGTACGGAGAGGTCTGATTGAAGTCAAACACAGGGTCTAAATCTGTTCATATGGTAAAAGGAATTCCAGCTAAATTATACAGAGAATGTCTTGTGTACAGCCGCTGGTCAAGGACTGGATTTTCTCTTGATCCACTCTTGAGCTTCACCTGTACCAAAGAAAGGTGAGGTACAACATAGCAACATTTCAGTAGCAACGCTTCACTTCTTTTCTCATAGTTTTTGCTAAACACAAGCATTAGCATCTCTACTATAACCATTAATCTTGGTACGATTCCTTTCAGTAAAATCGTTAATCTTATCCCACTCAGTGATGCAGGGAAGAACCCAGTTTACCTTTTAATAAATCAGACTGAGTCCCCTTTACAAGGCATATTTGAACATTCATATTAGAGCCCTTCTTGAAGGGTTGTTGTTATCTTTACCTGATTTCTTCACTTTGCCCAGGTGATGTGCCTTTCTAGCCCAAGCACAGTTTTTTTCATCTTGATAATAAAAATGAGAGAGAAACCAACAGGTAAATTTTTCTTTTCTTCTTTTACATCCATTATGTGGAGCAAATATTTGAACGCATATCCTAGACCATTGAATATTTACCAAGCTACTGAATATTCTAGTGTCCTGTGGGATCTGTTCCACATTTTATAAATCAATGTTTATTGGACCAGAAGGGGAGAAAGAGAAAGCTTAGCTCTCTTCCTGTATAGGCCACCTGCATGCATTCTGCAGTCTCATTTGTAAAAGCAGCTACAATAGCCATAATTTTGGAAAATATCTAAAACAAGTATGTATATATATAAAAGGAAAAAAAAATTAAGCCTGATGTTTACACCTAGACCAAAATGAAAGACAAGATAAAAGACAGGAATAAAACTGCTCTTCAGCTTAAAAATAGAAGTGTCCAAATGTTACAATTCCAGTAAGAAAATTCTTACTGCATTTTACCTTTTTTTCTTCAGGTGCTGGTGATACAATTGATCCCACTGAAGGAGTAAGAAATTTTGCCATTGACTGATATCAGCATGACCTGACTTCTTACACTTGTTGATTCTGGAGGCCTGAAGGCAGAGGAACAATTAGCATCATCACACATGGCGGGAAAATTCACCTAAAAAGTAGCATTTCAGTATGTGGATGAAAATTAATCATGCTGCAAACTGGGAGATTATTTTCTGAGAACACTGTAGTGAGCTGTATATATTGAGGGCTAAAGCAATGCTCAGAAGGGCTTAAAAATGTTCTGTTGAAAAAAATGAGCATGAAAATGGCACCAACAGAAAATTGGTGTTGGTCTAATGATCTGTGTGTATTTAGTCCATCCGGGGCCTAGTGAACTAGGTTCAGAATGGTGACTGCACAGAGGAAGACAGGAAAACTGGGCAACATCCGAAATTAGTATTGAAGAGATATATAGCCTAGGCAGAATACTAATAGCTGCAAAATGAACATTTAACATATGGATAAAGTAATGACTGGTTAGAGAGTTCCCATCAGAGATATAATAGGAAATGTAAATTAATATGAGAGTGCATACTCTGCTATAGAAGTGAATAAATGTACCAAAGGAGAGTTAGAGCCTCGATCCAAACTGCTGGATCATCCAACCGAACCAGCATTAAGGCCCCTACGTGCAACATTTCCACTGCCATCAACCATCCTGACCAAAATAAAGGCAGTGGCACAGCAGATCCTGCGCTGAGCCCACCACAGAGCCAAGCTGAGCAGATCCAGGGCCCTGCAGGAGGCAGACTGGAGCCGCTGGATGAGCAGGGGCTCCATTGGGGTCCAGCTGTGGTGTGGCACGCCAGGACAGAGTTGGTTTGAGATACAGATTTTAAAGAAAGGATCCAAATATCAGTTGCTGGAGAAACAGAGAGGATGGGAATGGAAGCTGGCTGTTGTTCCAAGTCTTGATAGTCTTGAAAACATTTGAAAAATTCTGTGTCAAAGAGGGAAGGGAAAACTGGTTTCACCTTCACAACCTCAGCATGATGCAGGGTCAGGGCCCATGTTTCTGGACATTCAACTGTGGGCAACAAAACTAGGCAGTCTTGTGAGAAAAGGCATGAAGTTTAATAAGAAGAAAATACGTATGAAAATGGCAATAAACAGCTCTTTGCATTGTTTACAGTGGAAAAAAGTTCTTTGTTATTCACATTGTTTATTCATTTTTTCCTTGAATACAGTGAAAAAGGTAAATATGAAATTAGGATATCTTAAAAGTTCTTACTTTATAATTTAGATATAATTTAATAATTATATCTAAATTTAAATTTAAATATAATAACTTCTAAAGTTCAGTTGTATTGATAAAAATTTAAAATGCAGATCTATATTTAGATTATTTCCTCAATTTCTACCTCATTAAAGAAGAAAGCAACAGAACATTGTGGACAGTTTCACGCTTCAAGAAAAAATTCATTCGTCATGTGTATGAAAGTACCTTTTAAAATGTGTAATATCTGTAGCTATTAAACAAAATTGATTTATTACACCAATAACAGAGCAATATAATAATCTAAAACGTGTTTATAAATTATTTATATTTAATAAAAAAAAAATTCAGCCACCATAATTCTTCTCATACCTTGCTTGTGTAGCAAACCATGCACTATACACATGGTGATTTTGATAAACCCTGTGCCATGCACGTTTCCACTGCTGGAAATTCAAATGCAAGCTTACAGCCCCTGTACATTAACCATGAAGTCTCTCCTCCTGTCCATTCCTATCACATGCTGGAACTGTTCCGAGTCCTTTTCCCAAGGCTCCCGCAATATCGCTGGTAAGATGTCACCTTTTATTAGCACATCCACTCTGAGATACACTAACACGCATTGAAAACATAAAATGCACATCATCCATCTTTCATGTGACAGCTGCATCCCACCTACTGAACTTTCAAGCTCATGGCACACCTGGGTCAAGGTTCTGTTAATAAAATGATGCAGAGTGACAGAAGAGTGGGAGTTAACTGCCTGCAAGCATTTGATAAACGGTTGCCTGTAATTTCTTTGGTTTCTTGCCTTGGGCAAATGTGCTGAAGAGGAAACAAGTAACTACAAGCCCCATTTGTCCAGGTGGGTGAGTGGAGATGAAGATGAAAGGCAATATACTCGTGTTACTCACAGCTTTATGATTTTCATCCACTTGGTCAGGGATCTATCTTTTGGTCCATCAAATAACGTGATAGCTAAACTATTCAAAGAAAGAGAAAACAAACGTTTCTGTAGTTTTGATAATGTCTGTTGATATGATTATATGGTTTTCTTGTTTCATAAGTAATCGAATGCACAGTGTTTCAGTTTAACCACTAAGGTTATTGTTGTATCTAGATATTGTCATTTTTGATAATAAATAAATAATATATTAAACACAAATAATTTTAGACAATTATTCAAATAATTTAATATATACACATTGACACTTATGACAAGACTCATTTTTTAATATTTTGATATACACTTATCTCATTTTTGATTTGTTGCAGCATTACAAACTTTTAGAAGATAATTTTGTA